AACTGAATGTTTTTCGTCAATGACTTTCATTTGGGTAAAAGTAATTTATTATATATGCATAGTTCTGAAATTTTTTTCCACTGGCCATTTTGCCAATTACGAACATACTTCCTCTTTTTTTCCTTCTCTGAAAGATATTTAATGAAAAGGCACCGACTGGAAATATCTTAAAACAGAGCCTATATAAAATGATTTAAATTTTATACATTTAAAAGACATCACGTGACAAAAATTAACATATTTAATATATCTGAAAACCTATAATCATTTACTCACTTCTTCACTAACTAGAATCACTCACTAACTAGTTAATCACTCACTAACTAGAATGAAGTACATATTACTTATAAAGGAACTTTAAAATATATGCATCGGTTGATGAAAAGAAATGTTGGGAAATCACAACAGCTTATTGAGAGTGGCAGATTCTTCACTAATATTACTCGCAGTTAATTTTAATGTTTCATCAAAACTAACTTTAACACTAGTATTTAGCGTTTTCTGTATACCTGTAACTACGATCAGCGGTCAATTTGACCGCTTATTACGAATGGAAGAAAAGGCTCGCTTTTTGTTAATATTATGACAAGTTAATAATTGTTCATTTTTCTTGTTTAATAAATAAAATTTAATTTAATAAAAGTAAATTTAGTAAATGCATGCAACCAAAAGATAATTTAATATAACAAAGAGGTTCACTTGTATTCGGATTCACTTGTTTCAGTAGGAAAAATGCAGTCCTCGTCGGATAAACTGGATATCGTTTCGGTACGAAATTCTTCATCAGATTCAGTTTCTGAAAACAGTTCTGGTTCAAACAGATTCAGTTTCTAGTGATGATTCTGATGAATCATCACCAGAAAGACTTTCAAAAACTTTCAGCATCCCTTTATTCGTGAGATATTTTCTATCAAAGCTTCTACGCGACGTGTTAAACAGACCAGAACAACAAAACGATCCAAATGAAGTACAGTACATTTGTGTCTACTGAAAAAAATAAACTTTCTAACACAAGCAAAATGTGCAGACACGTGGCCGCGAAAAAATTCCAAATAGGTGTTTTTATTCCCCCCTCTTCCCCTCCCCACTCATTTCTGTGAAATATGCAATCTTCTTTACCAAAAACACACTTGTTTATCTATCAGCAAACCGGAACTAGGTAGAAAAGTCTTAAACATATTGAGAAATCTATAATTTTCTGGATACGGTCAAAATTACCAATAGCCGTAATTCTAGGTATAAACAATAATATTGTTGAAAGTAATTAATTAAACTGAACAAAACAAATATCATATAATAGTCGTAAGCTTTTAGAAAAAGTCAAAAAATATGAACTTTCTAAATAAAGAATTAAAAAAGTTACGTCCAATTAAAATGGAGATACGGCAAAATGACCGTTCCCGTAATTCTAATGTTAAAGCGGAAATACACTTTATGAGTGAAGCTATAGAGCTCTACTTGTGTAATATCAACTAAAGAGTCCTTCAGAACCTATTAGACTGACAAGCAAACAAGAGCTCGGTCTGAAATATTACATCAGAGCTTACGAATGTTTTAAATAACCTTTTTATTTAATCTTGGAATTAAAGAGATGGCACCACTTTTACGTACAAGCAAAACTCTGCCACTCATAATTTTTAAAATGACAGAGCTGAAATTTAAGTATCGTAGTCGGAGACTACATAAATTCGAACTATTTAAGTTGGCTAGACTTAGGTGTTTTGCTGTCGGCTAGTAAAATAGTCAAAGCTGGAATGTTAATGAACAGAACTGGACGACAGAAAATAAAGCTATGAGCAATGCTGCCGAAAGTTGTATCTCTAACCACAGGAAATGAATTTAACAGTGCAGTTTTAAATACATCGAATTTATATTTCTCACTACTCGGTTCACCTTGTAGATACTTTTTAATGCACTAATTCAGTGCTTGACCTCGCAGCGGCGTGATTGCTGAAGCAACTTTTTTTAACTTCTCCAACCGGATACCAATAAAATACTATATAACCTTTCCTAAAACTTGTGTCAACACCCTTTGACACACACCTCCGTATTAGGCGGGAGGGCCGGGTGATGTCATAGAGTCATCAAAAGAGGGATTGAACAAACTCACTTGCTGCGCTACAGAGGCCGCACTTCCGCAAGACAGACTTTTTAAATGGACTCTCTCTTTCAAACCCCAAGGCTGAACCGGCACACCGGACGCTCCTCAACCTCGACTTAGGCGAACGCAGTTCGCAGTGTCGGATGCCCGCGTGTTATCGTTGACCCAGAGTAGCACAGACTGACGATTTTCGAACACATTTGAGCTTCTCACAAATAAGTCCACTGGATATCAAGTCCGTAAAATGATAAGCAATTACCTAGTCAGCAAAACAAATGGGGAGCAAACAAATACAGAGTAGCAGTATTGGAACTGTTTGAGACAATGTTCTAGCTGCCATTAGCCAAATGAGGCAAAAGAATCCTAGCTACTAGCCACGTAAGTAAGAGGAGCTATGCGAGATCAGTTGGTCAAGCAGAAAAAAAAGGCCAACTACGGAAGATCATCACATTTACAACAAAATACAAAATAAGCACCAGAAAAACGACAAATACAGGAATAAAATGCATAAGCCATAAGCAAATACAAAAAAAATTTTTGGGTTAATACTATTTACAATACAGAGCTCATTAGCCTAGACTTAATCTTCATTAAAAAGCCCGGCAATTTCCTATAGAATGAGGTGGAGTATTTGGAACTTATCAGGCATGTTGTCACATTTTTTTTTAATTCAGGTATCTTGCTCTTATAAATCTGGTTTATTCGACCAATATTGAAGCTGAAAAGATTTTCACTTCTTTCATAACTTTGAATATCTCCGAGATGTCAGAGCAATCATTTGTATTATTGATAGGGTTATCATTTGTAGTTTTAGGGTTATCATTGCTTGATTGGTAGGCGATAATAATAACGAAGAGTGGTTTTGCTGCAGATTTAAGCAGCTTGAAAACACACTTATTCAAACATTTAACGATCTAATCAACACGGGCAGCATTTAAAGGCTTGAATTCGATATATCCAGATGCAAGAATTGTTTTCACAACTTCCGTGTTTTCCAGGTCTACATTTTCTAATTCGGAAAATAACATCAAAATCATCCGCATAATTATTCACTGCAGGAGATTGAACATCACTAATCAGATCACTATTAACTTCCGAGCACGAGGCATCGACTCACGAGGTAAGCTTAACGCCATTTTCACAATCCATTCCGAGCAGGGGAAATTCAACACCGTCGTTGTCCATAAATTTCGGTGTACAATACATAAAAATTTGAAGAAAAATACACACTTAATCTAGGAGTAAGGCGCATATGAAAAAAAAAAAAAAAAAAAAGCACAAAGAACGCTCAGATTTCAGTCGATAAAGCAGTTTCGCATTGTTCTAAGAAGTATTGCACAAAACTCGAACTCTTGTCAAAACTTGGATGCGCGGCGACCACTGAGGGAGGGAAGCATCTATAAAATTTGTGTTCTTGGCCATTACGCTACCATTAAGATGCCTGAAGCAACTACCATCCAGGACAGCATAGACTGCTCTTTCTCTCAGTAGAAACCAACCAAATTCCAGTTATTGTGCCCGCAGAGCCGCTACTGTCATAGTATTATATTCAGCAAGTACTGAAAAATGGCTGCCTAAACTTTCGATGAAAGTTAAAAGTGAACTTCTACCGATGAAGCTGGTAGCTGGCTTCATCGACACTCCCATAGTATGTAAAATATACGCAAATCCTTCCCTAGGGCTTGCAAGAGCTGCAGCACCTTTGAGTCTTGGGGACGGCGGGCAGGCAAAAAATTGCGTCACCTCCGGGCATGGTTCTGGACAGCTAGGCACCAGTTATGTAGTTATCAGATTTTCTTTTCTTTTTTTCTTTCTTTTACTTTACATAGGACCAGGAGACATGAAAGTGTGGAATGTGCTCGCCAGGATTCAAACTCCGGTCTTTCCGACTGCTAGCTGGATATGCTTTCTAATTATACCATGAAAGAATGCTGTAAAGAATGAGTAAATACTGAGATATTTCTCCTCTTAAAGGGCAACTGCGAAGGAGGGGAAACAAGCCAAATCCTCGTAGTGACTAATTATTGTCAACCACGTTTTTAGTTCAGGCACTTTTAGAAAACTTTCTAATCAAAAATAATTGGAAAATAAAGGAATTAGAATCCGACATTAAAAATCATTGTTTTTTATTGATAAGTAATTTCAACATGTATTTTTGCAAGGATTATGAAAAAGAAAATTGGATTAGAAATTCATTTTGTTCAAATGTACCTGAAATTTGAAATTTTATCTCGTGAAGAATAAGAACAATTGATAGAAGCTTTAACTGAAGATTTCAAAAATAAAACACTTGTTAACTTTTGGCAGAATCGAAAAAAAAAAAAAAAATAAAAGAACTTAAAGGCATTTCAAACAAAGTCGTTATATTTTTATTGGCTTTTTGCGTAACTTATTTGTGTGAACAGGACCACTTTTGAGACAGAATTTTTTCGAAGCCATGAAGTGAAGAAATTTCTAGTGTCCTCGTCTGGAACTCCGGGCCTTCCGACTGCCAGCCTCAAGTGCTTTCTAATTACACCACGAAACATCACGGTAAAGATTGAGAAAATACAAGTTTCTAAATCACCACATTTATATTTCTAAGAAAATGAAATATTGTGAGAAGAAAAGGATCGAACTCTACAGGCAGTCAACGCAAGCAACTATAGTATTTTTTAAATTTTTGTTTAAATAATAATAAGGCTTTTAAAATTCTAATCTTTTTTCCCTCGTTGCATGTTAGATATTCTTTGTTGGAATCTCAATTTTTCAATGTTAAATACGCTTTTCAGACAATACGATAAAAAAATCTGTTCGATTCAAATAAGAATTATTTATATACTTCAGTTAAGCAGTTGTGAATGTAGGTGAATTACTGTATAAATATATCTAATATGCCTTTTTCTCATAAATGCTTTAGGTTCAAGAAACAAACGCAATGGCAAAACTAAAGTGTCCAACTATAAACCGAGCTCTTTTTCCGCTCAAAATTGTTTTATTCTGCTGGTATGGAGGTAAGTTAATTTTATTAAAGTATATTTAGAAAACTACATTAAAAATGCAGCATTCTCTGCTTTCGCCTGAGATATTACTGGGCATGTATGCACAGCACTGTTTCAGAATTAGCATAATTTCTTAAAATTGCAGCTTAAACTAAGGCTTCTCTACAGAGTATTAATAGCTTTTAGTGCACATTTAGCTTAATATATACTATTTCCTTAACTTCCTTTTAGTTTGAATTCAGCAACTGTCTCTTTCTGAAGACCAGTAGTTAGTCCCGAACTTCAATTCCCGGCTACTGAGATAATCGACTTTAAGGTAGTTTTCCTCATGTGTAATATAAATATGAGCCAGTCTTCTTAAAATGTCGCCCGAAACATCCTCTTCTAATGCATACAGCTCTCAAGTACTTTACCGTAATAAAACGTAATCTGTTTGAAATGTTTGCTTCATTGTCTGACACAGCCTTTCTTAACTGTGGGTCGCGACCCCGAATGAGGTTGCAAAGCGAATGTTGGTGTAGAGAAAATTTAATTCAGAAACATGAATCGCAATCCCTTCATTACCTTCAATTTAATATACAGTATTTTTGTCGTGTATTTTTCCCCCTCGCATATTTTTATCAATAACATTTTAAAACCAGGTTCTGAAAATTTTAAAAATATTCGCGTTAAATTTTCTCTTCCTCCAATGCGTTCAGAGGACGAGCTTATCTAAATTTTAAATTCGATTCGTCTACGTAAGTGATTGTTTTTGTCCGTTTCGTTCAAACAAAGACAAAAACCTCTGAAACTACCTGCGGAGATCAGGCAGAAAGTTTTCCTTCTTAATTGTTGACCTTACCTCACACTAAAACAAAAACTAACCATCAAACACGAGCGGACATTCAGTCTACTATTTCGTTGAGTCAGCTGCACATTCATTTTCTCTAAATATTTATGGATGATTTGAGAACTGAAAGATAGCAATAAGAACGTCATAGCTTCGAATTACAGCCAATTAGAAACGATAATACCTTATTTGATGTTGCAATGTTAATATTAGTACATATTCTTATCGGAATGTAGGTTTCTTTTAGAGAAATATTACTGTTATAAGGTATGTCTCCCGCCTTCTTAGCATGCCTTCGTAGTGTAGTGGTCAGCACGCTGGGCGCGTATTCCAGAGGTCCGTGGTTCGATTCCCGACGAAGGCGTTGCTCATTTTTCACTTCTCCTGCTTCCAAAAAATATTGCACTTCCATGCAATATTGGTTTTTTTGTAAATAGTTTTTTTTTTTTTTTTTTTTTTTTTTTTTTTTTTGTAATTTGCTCCAGGGAGAAAAAATCGCTAATTTTTTTAATAACATCAAACATATAGCATCTTTATTTGCTCTTTACCTTTTATTTAATAAATAAGCTTTACAAATAAGTCAAATTTGTTTTGCTTCTAACTCTTCCTTTGCCTGATTTTGCATCATCCTTAATTTATGGACATGACCCCATGCCGCAAAGACACTATACATTTACAAGCATTCATGCTTTCCCCGGCATTCCAACCCGGGCCCTTCGGTACCGCAAGTAGGCTCTCCTAACCACCATGCCAGCTGGACGGCTAGCTAGAATTGTATTTCCCACAAATTCTGAAATGACATTAAATGTTCTGGCATTCAGCACCACGCATTTAAGTGAAACGACTTTTCAGTTTAACAAACCCAAATTTCGTTCAACGTCAAAAATTGCATGAAGATTTTATTTGGTATGCAACAAAAAACAAGCACATCTGTCTCACAAAACGTGACTTTTTTAATTAATTTTTGTATACCTGAAACAAATCTTAAAGCTACTTTTCATATGTATAATATTTATCCAGAAGTAAACTATTAATGGTAAAATATTCATTTTTATAATCGCATATGGGGTTTAATAGAGGTCGCGAAAACGTCTCGAGGTTAAAAAGCGGTCACTGATAAAAAAATGTTTGTGATGCGCTGGTCTAGGAAAACATTATTCAAGAAGAAAAGCACTTACGGATTGTCTGTCAAATTTTCATTTAAGTTTTGGCTGATAGTGCATCGAAATTGAAACTGAGCGTCTCCTGCATTCTTCCCTTTTCAGTAAACTCGCCAATGAAATTTTGGGTCGAGGGATTTTTGGAAACATCATTATGCAAAAATCATACGATTAGAAACCTCCATGTCTTAACCGTAATTCGATCCCTAGTCAATTTGCCCAGATTTCGTTAAACCATCAAACTGACAAGCAACATTCCATAATTTCATTTTAATGTTTAATTTGCTATTGAATAATTTTATGCTAAGAATAATCTACTTCCTTCATGAATATGCTTCACAAATGAGAAAAAGCAATATCGTAAAATTGAGACCTTTCAGATTGTGACTGAGATCACACTGGGCAGCACTAACGTAATTATGCGACCCATCAACTGCCGAGAGGTAAAGCCGCTAATACGCTGGTAGTTAGACTTGATCCAAGCGAATGGGTTGGCTGCATGGCGTTTTTGTGTTTCTTCCATGTGTAATGTACGAGTCAGTTTCCGTTAGAGAGTTCATCATGAAGGTATCTCTCCCCTTAGAACATGAGTTCATTGCCGTAATCAAATAAATTAAATTAATCTGTTGTAAATATCTTTCTAGGAAATGTCGAAATTAAATGCATTTCACAATCGCTCGCATTTTAGCTCCTTTTTTAGCTCTTTTTGGTATTATTAAAGACAAGGATTCAAAATGCTTGAAAATGGATGTCAACCCACCAGTCATTTAGCCATTTCACTCAGAGATCGTTGCTAAGGGTGCGTCACAGACCGACCATCGTCCAGGGCGATTTGATCCTAAATGTAGATCAACATAGTCGATGTAAAAGAAAACATTTATGTCTACGGTTTCTTTTTAAATGAGATGTTGCATCGTCCAAATAAATTTCCGAAGAAGGCTTTATTGTGATTCAATATCCCAAACAATTTCAAATTTTTATTATTCTTTAATGAAACAGAAAAGATGCATTGATATTTTCCCATCATTATTTGGAAGGGAGTTAATTAAATGTTCTAAACAATATCCTATATCATGCAATTTTACGGAATGAATTATTATTCTTATATCAGGGATTGAAGAGTTGATCTTGTTTCTGCAAACGGAATGGATTATATGTGACATTTCAGAAACATATTTGCGTTCATCTAATTCCCTTGCTTCGTATAACCGGGAAGATACTAAAATTCTATAAATTCATTCACCGCATTTGGCAATCATATTTTCATTAAAGCATATATTTTTGTGCCGAATGCTTTTAACAGTTTTTAGCTGAATTCAGACGCAAGACTTGGCTAACAGTATTAATATCAACATAATAAATTTCTGGATTTATTTGATGATTGCTTTAGATAGTGGTTTGAAATCATTTCATGGGCTTATACTTGTCATTTTCAGGATAATCTCTAGCCTATGCTAACAGGTCAACAGTTCTCAATAAGGTCGATAGATTATTGACTTGTTAGTATGATTCAAAGGAGTTTTCTGAAGTTTGATCCTTGAACTCTCCCTGAAATCAGACTAAAAATAAAAAACAGGGTTAATAACCCAGAAATTTGTATATGTAATCATGAGTAACAATTGATTTCTATTTTTACTTTTTGACTACTGATTAAAATTTTAAATTAAGCAATTATTTATTATGATTAAAACATAATCTTAATCATTTGTATATCGATTGTTTAAATTTTCTCAGAATAGATGGCTGACAGTTTAAAATGAACTATTGATAAGGAAAAAGAAGCATGGCACTGATAAGAGAAAGTTACTTCGAAGCCAAAGATTATTTCTGAATCTTGTGCAATCAAATGTCCAGATAAATGATAGTTATGAATACAAGACACAATAAAAAGTCAATTTTTTATATCGCGCTATATTGAAGCTAATTAATAAACATACATCCTTGTAACTTTATAAGAAGTTTGAGAATATTATGCTTTGCCCCCCAAAAAATTTCATATTTATAATATTAATAATATTCCCGTTACAATTATCCCCAAAACAATTCTTAATAATAGACAGAAAAAAAACTATACTTAATGTAAACTAAATTATAATCTTTTGTTAAAACAAAACATAAAGAAACTGTATGCAGATTTAATATCGCAAATTTTTTTATAAGGTAACCGTAAAGCTCTTTGAATGATATATTAATTCGGGCTAACAAGTAGCCTAATGTCTATAATGGGCTAACAAATAACCTAATGTCTGTACAATAGTTGTCACAGGAAATCAAAGTCTAGGATTTTTCGGAATGCCTTCATAACGGTGACAGTCAGCTACTATTCGAAAAGAAAACTTTCAAAAGTGTTCCCTCGTGTAAAGTGACGGTACCATAACACAGATCAATATCTAAACTTGAAAAAAAGCAACCTTATATAACCTCAGGCACTTTTATGTCGGAACACATTTATATAGGTAAAATTTTCGTTTACTTTATTAATTAAAATAGCAAACTAAGCTTAACTTGCATAGTGATGAAAAGTCTTCATTAAAATTACCGCACTTTTATGAAGGCTGCTTTCTTCAATTTAGAAAATGGTCTGCATGAGGGTGAGGACACTTACAGGCCAGGACAAACTTATGAAACCGTTTCTTTTTTCAGCATAGTCTTCTACAGTGCAACTCAGATTTTCTAACGATTCTTCAGCTATAACATTCCGCCCCCCTAGGTAAAAATCTCTATTTTGCTTTTTACACTACTTTTGTAAGAGGCGTGATGATTACTTTCTTCAAAAGAAAATTAAGTTCATGGAGATTTTCATCTGTTTTGGGTATTGCTTCAACTGTTGCTTTGTTTCTGGGTCAAAATGGTAATATTAAGCATTCGGGTCGCAGTTTATTTGGACTATAATAAGGGTACAAAGAATGCAATATGTTGCTTATACTCAAAAAAACTCACTTTTTCATGGGCAGACTAGTTATTCATGGGTCAAACCCAAACTCGTAAATAGGAAATATTTTATTTTTTCGTTGTAAATTGAT